CATCCTTCACTTTCCGTCCTTATAGATTCAAAAAGTACCTCTCATTTTGGTCCCATTTTTGTTGAGATATGGTATAGGCGATGCGCTATAATATATTGAAATAGTCAAGTATTGCTCATCTATTAGACAGAGCTGTTATTCCTTCACATTTGACATTTCATGAGCGATGAGATTTTTTCGCGCCCTCCAGCAGAGATCCGAAATTCTGCTATTTTATAAACAACTAAACTGCCACAAAGGCTGAGGCTGAGTTAAGAGTATTTAAATATTTCATTGAATTTATCTATAATGGAAGCTCATATGAGATGAATCCCAATGAGATATGTTCAATTTGTAATTTGAATTCTGCAGAAACGTTGCAGCATATTTTGTTCGATTGTCCGATTTACAATAGTCTCAGAATACCAAACTGTGATCATCTCCCGAATGGCCACTCGTTGATTGATTTCATCGACAATCTTACTCCACTTAGATGCAAAAATATCGCCAACTATATATGGAATATACTAAAAACCAGATCATTTTCAAGAAACGAGTAGCACTTCGTGATATATGGTGATATCATCAACTTCGCCTCATTTCCTTCTTTCTTTCATTTCGTATATTTTTGTTATTTATCAAAACTGTCCATATTTGCATATATGTATAGTGGCAATTATTATAATTCGCATTGTACACATATTCATGTAGATGTCCTTGCTATAGGACTGTAAGGTCCTTGAAAGCAATAAAGAATCTATCTATCTATATGTATATCTATCATAATTTGATAACATAAACAACACAAAACCTAATAGTAATAGTAGTAATTTCAGGAATTAATTCATCACCTGAAATTAATTACATCATTCAAGATACACATTGTATATACATTATTTTCACATTCCCGTTCTCGACAATTTTCGTTCTCGCTAAGCGTGAAAAATTGAGGACAAAGAGCAAATATCGCGGCTATGCGGTGAATGTTGAATAAAATATGAAGATGAAACGCTTTGCAATAGGCACCCGACAAGCCAAATATTTTCGCGAGAATGAATCCACAGTACCCGTGCTCTCAGCAGTCTCAGCTTCTTGCTCTTTCGTATAATATGAAAGTAAAATTGAATTTCAAAGATAAACAATTGCTTTATGCAGCTTTTAACTATCAGAGAGCGTTTTATTCATGCATCTTTCTACGGCTATAACACAAGATTGCTCTTGTTTTACTGTATTCGATCGTTACCCCCGATACTAACAATGAGGTACTTTGTATGTCATAAACCATTGCATCAATATTATTTATTTACAACCATATAATGTAATGTTGTCATTACTAACGTCATTGAAGGTTGGGAAGTGTCACATTACACACCTCTACTTCCAGCCCTCACTTCCCGACCTCACTCATGTAATAATTCAGGTATGTTCAGAACGAAACATAGATTTATTAATTTTGATCGAAATATGATGGTTGTAAATAAAATAGTAAACAAACCTCGCGTTTTTCTCGGTGCATGATGCTGATATACGCGGTATCTAGTATCTCAATATTTGTCGTCAGCCTTACCTTTTTTGTATTTTCTGGATTCACCATACCTATATAATAAAATGTTTTGAATGCATGTATTTTTGTCTTATTACCAAGGTTTTATCATTCTTCGAGAACAATGGAGGTATTTTTTCATACTAGCTAATAACAAGTGAATAAGTCACTATTGACAAGTAAATAAGTCACTGATGACTAGTAGATAAGTCACTAATGACATGTAGTTAGGCCACTAATGACTAGTGAACAAGTCACTAATGAAAAGTGAATGAGTTACTAATGACAATTGAATAGGTCACTGATGACAAGTGATGTGTTCACTAACCGTTATCACTCTGAAATTTAATGAAACAGATCAATAGTGGTAGGTGTACATTTTCAGGAACACAAATATTCTTGTGGTTATTAACTTGTTTCCTTGTCCCATATAGTATACAAGTTTTTACTTGCCACTATTAAATATTCACTTAGGGTTAGTGATTTTTTTTCGACGTGCGGTAGGAAGTTTCATTCCTGTCTCGAAATTATAGCTAACTGATCTCACGACAGGAATGAATCACTTTCCACCTCGGTCTGTAATATACTCCATTGAAGCTGGATAGCAGAGTTCAAAACGAAAACGTTATCGATACACCCCCTTCTTTTCCTGAATCCAGATTGGCATTCGGGAAGCATATTGCATTGTTTTCAGCCCAACTTTCGAGTCTGACTAGTAAAATCTGAGTGAATACCTTGGCAGGGCAATTCATCAGTGCAATTCCTCTGTAACTGGAAGGGACATCGATTGGTCCCGATTTATGTAACCACGTGAAGCTAAGCAAATTATGTTCACTTTCCAAATCCTATGCCTCTTCAAGGAATGTCATAATTGTATTTTATGATCAATGAACCAATATTCGTATCTATAGCTCCTTTTCTTGAGTATCAACCCTCAGCAAATCTCAACTAGCAAAGATAAATAAGTCATATTTGTGAAAATGTTATTTCATATATTTATATTGAATCGAAAATGAGAGTTTGCTCCTTCATGTAAGTTAACAAAGCTATCAATTCACTCCCACGGAAAGAAAAAATATCACTTTCCGTGGGAGGTAAAATATATTGGCTCTAGAAAGATTTGTTTGTGTCGATACCCAGAAGAGACGTTAGTAGTAAGCTGTGGTTTACTGAGTATTCTATAAAAGTTTTGTATAATAATTATTCAGATATCTAGTGAGTTAATTTATTTAGCAGTCATTTCATTTTATATCAGAAATTAGATTAGTACGGTAACATAATAATAATCATTATGTAAATCAATCAACAAGATTTTCCACCAAGTTTCGAGAAAGTCTGGAAAATACGTTCAACTTTTAAATGGAAGAAGGTAATTAGACGTGACCTATGAATGCCAAAAATGAATTGGGGCCGATTTAAATAACGATACCTGTTTACTTCATTTTCAATATTATTTTAAACTATAAACATGTTCAATTAACCATTTTACCATGCTCATTATGACCATGTTTTTGCTTCTTTCTTCTCCACGTGAGTACCAATTTGTTTTACTTGATATACCCACTTACTGTATCGTTGTTCTTTGTAGAATAATTTCTTTCTGGCTGATGATGGATACCTTTTGGGTCCGAAACATGTACCCCCTTCTTGAATTTGAAATTAAACGTTGTGGAGACCACTTGGAGAGTTTTTAATATATTTCAACTATTTCACTCCATTTTAAGATAACATGGACTTCTACAGTAGATTGATTTTATATTTTGTATTGACTCAGTAGTTACTTGATGGAAATAACAAAAAAATAAGATTTTTACGAAGCAACATATTTCGCTGATACATAGCTTTTTCAAGTGAAATATATATCCGTAAAATACATTACTATCAGAACAGGTATGTACCAAATTTCAAAACAACAACAAAAAGCATTCGAATAGCAAGAATCCATTTTTACATGCACTAAGACCAAGTCAATGTAGGTGATTCAAAGGTGCTTTAACGTATACAGGTTGATTGTTTATATTTCACTCAATATCTATCAATCTATCTCAGTTAATATTGGTCCTACAGAAAGATTCAATTGGGGAAAAGTGAGTTATGGGCATTCAAAATATAGTACAAGAAAATGCCAAACAAAGCATCGTAAACCTAATTTCATGAATTGGTATTTTTTAAATGCAACACCCTGTATATTATTCTTCTAATCGGTAGAGCTATTTCTTCTGATATAAAATATATATACTTTATTGAGGTAATCTTTCGTCAGTTTTCGAAAAATATAGTTTTTTTGGTATGATCTATAGTGAAATTTTTAGGTAACCATGTTTCTTTGCATTTTCTAGTACTGGATTTTGAATGCCCATAATGAAAAAATACTTCACTTTTGCCCATTAGAACGTTTCTGTAGGACCAATATCAACTGAAATTGCTATTGAGTAAAATATTAACAATCACCCTGTACACCTTCTTATGCTAGATAAGCAGCTAGACTATTTCACTCATCTTTTTTCGAGATAAGTCTGTGGATTCATTTCAGAACGAAAGACCGACATACGATAAATTCAGTCACGAGTGGAATTTTATTGAACTATTTCACAAACAAAGTGAAATATGAACATCTGAAATTCGGTAGAATAAAGTTCAATAAACAGGAATCATGAACATTCAATAGAATATATAATTTTAATGAACCATTTATACCATAACGTTCTTGAATATTTTTCAATTAGGTATACAGGGTCGCCCAAAATTACATAAAAATATTTCAACCACAGATTCTAGGAAAACAAAAGTGGAAAAAGTTCATACAAATATGATGGTGAATGCTATCAAAACTAAAATAGAGTACCATTGTTGAGTTGACTTGAGTTTAAAGAATTTTTCTATCAGAGAGCCTAAATGAAAAATTCACTAGCTTGTCAGTGACAATTTGTATTGAAAAAGGTTTGGAGGAGGGAAATAAAGGTATATAGGCAAAAAAATATCAAATTTCCACTTATCTTTGGACGTTTCTGGAACGAATCTGATCCCATTTTCAACATTAAAAATGGATATTAGTATGGCAAATTCGTATTCGTCTTGATACTTCTCAATTGTTGTCATTGGCAATCAAATTACAGAATGCTTTCATTGATTAATCTTGAACTTATCATTCTCATTTACATAAGTACAATATAAAGAAAAGACACATCGACGAATCGAAACTAGCTGAACATATCCTTACTGAAGATGGACAACATATGGCAAAGTGGAAAAATCTCAAAAACATTGGAAAAGAAGATAACAACCAGAAGTGAAAAATCAAGGAATCAGCTTGCATTCTTCTGAACGGAGACAAAAGCATTGCTTTCTGTTCAGTTGATATTGAGAGAACATGGTATTCACTACTGAAATCTGCAAATGAAAATGGTAAATTGACCTATAGATTCAAGCGAAAGAAAAGCGCATTCGTGCAAATAATGTGATTGGTTAGTTTAGCAACCTTTGGTATGCGCCGTTAGTAGGGGAGCGCAAGGCATCATCATCTCCTTGAAGGCTTTACCTTCGACTGTCGGACTCCGTTTGACGAACGACAGGAAAAGATGGCGGCACAGTTCCTCTGGCGTGCGCACCTCCAGGAACGTGTCCAGGAACCTGTGGAAGCCCTCGTAGTCGATATCCTGAAACAATAATGATAATAATACTTATTTATTATACAAGGGAAAAAAGTAGTAGATTTTAGCCCCAGGTTATGTTGTCTCCCGACCGAGCTCCCGACGCGTAGCGGAGAGAAACAAAAAACCGTGAGCTAAAATCTAATAATTTTCCCGTGTATAATACACTATTTTTTTCTGTGACAGAAGAAAGGACGAATCATTATTGAGAAAGATATTACATTATTTTGAAATCTGAAAATTATCGACGTGAACGTATATTTCTGTAATCATTTCCGATAGACTCCAAGTATCGATTAAATCAGCTCTTCAGGGAGCATCTATAAGAATTCAATAAAATACAGGGTATTCTATTAGGAATTACAAAGTTGTTGCTACTTTATGATAGGAGCAGTAACAATGCATTGCTGAAAATATTTCAAATAAAGAGAGCATATTTAAAAATATGAGCATGCATATTTTCATGAATTTCTCGCTACTGATTCTTGATATAGAAATAGAGTGTAAGGTCATCGTGACATACCCTGTATATTAAATCAGACATAATAATCGTGAAAGTAAAACTTGGAAAACCCATGGCCCACTATAGCAAAAATTCATCATGATCATAACCCCTAAAAAAATTGAGTACGCCACTGGATTCTTTGCCAAATTCTCTGCTAGACGTAGTAACTCAGCACAACCTTATTTCTAATAACTTCGTAGAGAAGCTTGGCAGTTTAAACCAAAATGTACATTCAAATCTGAAACACCCTGTATGTCTCCTTATGCATTTTACATTCCTCGAGAAATTTGCTAGATTTTTTCGCTACTCCTGACTGTTAAATTCTTTCAAATCACTAGAGATTTTTGTAAAAATTAAATTTTTAGCCTGTGTTTAATTTTTTCTTCATCTTATATCTTGTATACTATATACATAGATTAACGACTCCCCATATATATTGTATAATTTCATTATCGTTATTAGTCATAGATACATCATTTGTTCGGAAATTTATCAGTTATCAGCATGATTCAACCTATTAGTCATTCATTCGAGACCAGGTGGTGAATGGTGAATCAAGACAGTCTTATATTAGATGTCATCACGTACGGTAGAATTTTGTGATCGCAATTGAAAAATACGCGAAAGGAATTATTTATTGTTCTAAACGGAGTGTAATTACATTATCGCGATCGTATGCTGTTCTGGTGTTTCGTGTAGTTTCATCAAAGCTTCGCATTTTTCACGCTGGTGAGTGAATAGAGATTCTCTGTTTTTCCTCATATTTCCCTGTTTATATTTAACTTAATTACCTTATATGTTTTCAAAATGAGAAACGTCTGTTCGTTGAATACTTTCAAGATAATAATTTATTCGAAACGAGCAAACCAGAAGACGATTCGAAATTTTTTTATGGAAAAATACCGTTTTCCTATACAGGGTGTTTCAGATTTGAATGTACATACTAAACCTGTAGATAGAGGAAAATTTGGTGGATCCAATCACTCCCTATGGATGTGTCTTCTATCATTTACTAATTCTTTTATAATCAATATAATATACAGGGTATGTCACGACGAGCTCACACTATCTTCATATCGAGAATCAGTCGAAAGAAATCCATGAAAATGTGCATGCTTATATTTCAGAATGCAGTGTTGCCGCTTCTCCTAGAAAGTGGTAGCAACATTGATATTTCAAATGAATTATTTCATCGCATTTTTAGATTCTGCCTGAAGAGCTGATTTCATCAATACATCACACTTGGGGTCTGAGATATGGGGTGTTCAAATTCGAGATTTGTCAACTCTAGGATTTTTTTGTGTCGAAACTATTCATTATCGGTCAAAACGGCTCACATGTCCCTATCTCAACTTTTGATTCACGATTTACTGATATTTAATCGGAACAGATACAGGGTGGTTCAATATTCAGAATTCTGATCATCCTGTAGCTGTTCCGATTAAATAAATAGTAAATCAGAAGTTGAGATAGGGACATGTGAGCCGTTTTGGCCGATAATGAATAGTTTCGACACAAACAAAACCTGAAGTTGAAAAATCTCGATTTTGAAACACCCTATATCTCTGTAATCATTTCCGATAGACCCCAAGTGTGATGCATCGATGAAATCAGCTCTTCAGGGGAAATGAAAATACAGGGTATTCTATTTGGAATAACAAAGTTGTTGCTATTTTTTTATAGAAGCGGCAACAATGCATTGCTGAAAATATTTTAAATAAAGAGAGCGTATTCTAAAATATGAGCATGCATATTTTCATGAATTTTTCCCGAATGATTCTCGATATACAGATAGATCAGACATAATAATCGTTAAAGTAAAACCTATTAATCATTCATTCGAGACCAGGTGGTGAATCAAAGCAGTCTTCTATCAGATCACGAACGGTCGAATTTTGTGATCGCAATTGAAAAATTATTGTGTTTTGTGTTCCCCATTTAATTCAGTGATTACAATATCGCCATCGTGTGCTGTTCTGGTGTTTCGTGTTGTTTCATCAAATCCTCGCATTATTCACGCTGGTGAGTGGGGAGAGATTCTCTCAAATTCTCCTCATATTTCTTTCATTACCTTATATGTTTTCAAAATCACAAAGGTAACGTTTGTTGAATATTTTCCGATGAAGTAACTTTCTTCTGAAATTCGTACTCTCCGTACACAACGGTATTTTTTCAGAAGAAAATAATGCGAAAAGAGCAAACCAGAAGAAAATAAGACGATTCGAGATTATTCCATGAGAACATATTTATTGCTTATACAGGGTGTTTCAGATTTAAAAATACATACATCGATGTGTCTACTATCTTTTATAACTGTGATACAGAACGTACCTAATCTTGATTTTGGCAATATCTTTATCTGGTCAGCTCATAACTTCTGAACCATGGTGTATAATCGATTCATACTCGATAGGTATTCAACGACTTTTCAACAGGGTGCATCCAATTTGACTTTTTTCTTCATAATCATTTTTCGAAATAGAATTTTTGTTGAACTCCTAATTCAAAGTCCAATTTTATCACAAAAAATAATCAGTCCTCAAAGTTCAACTTCATCAGAGTCAAATTAGGTGAACTATCGATAGTTTTCATCCTATAGAATAATTGTTAATTAGATATTTTCAAGTGCTTGTTACATTTTCAGTATTTAAAAAAATAATGAGAGTTTGAAAGTTATATACATGAAATTCTTTTTTTTTAAATATTATTTTCGAGGTCAATATCTCCGAAACGAAGCGCGATATAATATTTTTTATATGAAGTACCAACATTATTTTGGCTCACTCAACCAGTCCTATCATTTACAACATTACCGTTCCGGACATCCTGTATAGTTTGCAAATTTTTCCTAAGACCATTTTTCACTCATTGAATAAATGTTGCCAATAACATTTAGATAGCTGTGGACACAACAGAAATGCCATGAAAACAAAACAGACATTTTTTGACATCTCTGTCGGTCTTTGAATCAAAATGGGTTATTCAGCAGTGGAAAAATACGAAATTGTATGATTGTTATATAATGAAAATATTGTAGAAACTTCAGTAATGCTGCAAGAATTTAGTCTAAATCGGATTTCTTTTCCAGATTAACAAGCAAACAGACAAAAAGCAAAGTGTTTGATACTTGCCACTAAGTTGAAGAAAACCATCCAGTCAAGGCACACCGAACAGAAAATCTGCATAGAGAACTGACCAGAGTATACTTTTCAGAATTCCTTATATTCGTACGGAAGGCGATATATTGAATTTCTTTCCAGATTCTCAAGCAAACAGATAGGGAGATATTCATCTTTATGTCTCTATGGAAACACGACAGGTACCCTTACGAGGGGAGAGTATCAACTTGGCGTTTATAAACCCTCTCTGCGAAGGAGGTCGGCGCATGGTGGGTTAGGTATATACAGTGTTTTTCATTGCAGAGAAAATCGTTGTGTATCTGCCTACCTCGTCTGCATTGAGAGAGTTGATGAATTGATGAATAATCATAAAAATATATCGCATTTCAGTTACGAATGTTCAAAACAATTTTCAGACTTTATAGATTTATATTGTATGTACGTCTCACGAGTCAAGTTTAAAATTGATGCTTAGTTTTAGATCCGAGCAGCACACTGTTTGGCATTCATGGTCCTTATTATAACCCACGAAATTCGAAATGTAGAAGATGTCTACTGGGAAGACCACTATTCGGAAGGAGAGCGAATATGAAGCAATTCAGTTACGGTTGTTGGAAATATTATTCAGGTATGTTTCAGATTCAACATCAGTTTTAATTCTCATGGACTTTCTGATATGTGATATTCAGTTGCGGATCCGAAAAGCAGAGTATTTGATACTTGTCAATAAATTGGAGAAAACAATCCAGTTCAGTTACGGTTGTTGAAAATATTATTCAGGTATGTTTCAGATTCAACATCAGTTTCAATTCTCATGGACTTTCTAATATATGATATTTAGTTGCAGATCCGAAAAGCAAAGTGTTTGATACTTGTCAAAAAATCGGAGAAAACCATCCAGTCCAGACGAACCAAACAGAAGATCCGCAAAGAGAACTGACCAGAGTATACTTTTCAGAATTCTGATCCTTACATTCGTACGGAAGGCGATATATTGAATTCCTTTCCAGATTCTCAAGCAAACAGATAGGCAGATATTCACCTTTATGTCTCTATGGAAACACGACAGGTACCCTTACGAGGGGAGAGTATCAACTCGGCGTTTATAAACCCTCTCTGCAAAGGAGGTCGGCGCATGGTGGGTTAGGTATATACAGTGTTTTTCATTGCAGAGAAAATCGTTGTTTATCTGCCTACCTCGTCTGCATTGAGAGAGTTGATGAATTGATAAATATCCATAAAAATATATCGCATTTCAGTTACGAATGTTGAAAACAATATTCAGACTTTATAAATTTCGAATTGATGTTTACTTTTAGATCCGAGCAGCACACTGTTTGGCAGTCATGGTCCTTATTATAACCCACGAAATTTGAAATGTA